CCATCTCCTGTCCTGTGCAAACTGACTGACTGACTGACTGACTGACTGACTGACTGACCTTGTGTTGTTGCATTACTGCAGTTCGCATTGTTCATATTTTGGATCCATTTGGTTTTTCGAACTTATCTCATCTCCATGTGTAGAAGGCATAGGGGCCGCGCTGCGTATAACACTCTTCACCACCGGTACCGACAGCAGCTTCCTCATCTGTGTGCTGGTCTTTGCAGCATACCTGATACGGCAACTATTGTAGCTTTTAGTTTAAATTCACTAACAGTAACCTATTTCCATTAGCTTTGCTCAGGCCTTTACTTGGTACCACTGTTCCCTTTATTTTCAGAAATACTCAACCCACCGTTATTGCTTCCCTCAAGTAACTGACGGGTTGAGACCAAAACGAAAGGCGAGGTTAACCGCGAGGGCAATTCATTAACGAAAAGAAGGAACAGTTCCGGTCATTGGACCGAACATAAAGCATAAAAAGAGAGGTTTTATGCGCTCGATCTTTTCTCACTCGAAAGGAGGAGATTGCACTGAGACCTCATCGAAGTATTTAAGATTAGGAAGAGTTGACTGGGTTTAGATCCGGGTTCCCTCATCACTGAGGCTCCCCACCAAGGAGCGCGTGGTCATGAGCTCAAACTCGCAAAACAACATTCTAGGCTGAACCCACGAGCACGTTTCTTTAGCAGTAGGGTAGTGGACAATTGGAATAAACCACCGTCCGAACTGATCAACGAGCCAAACGTCTAAGCATTCAAAAGAGCCCGGGTCGCTAGGTGGCTGAAGGGTTTCCCTGACGTAGAATGTTCGGGGCAATACTTGGTTTTGTGTAATATGGAACGCTTTCATAATAAAAGTCTCTTGCCGACACGGCGAGAAGTAAAGTCTCTTCCTCTCTGTTTGCGGATAGAAAGAGAAACTGATCGATCGCAGAGGTGGACGCACACCGAAGGAATTCTGGACGCGTGATTGGCCTGTGGCCACTATCAGTCCTGTGTAACCTGACCTGATTTTGTTCATTGTGTTGCAAATGACCTGAAGTGTGTTTTCTAAAGTGACAGCGGTTTTTGCGAATGTGTGTTGCGCAGTCTTTTCCACCCAGTTGGTGACGTTGCGGTTTCAAAGTTGTCTATCACTTTCGTAAACCACAGCGGGTTGTGTAGGTCGATTTGGCCAATCATCGGTGATGGTTTTGGCAATTATTCTGTCCACTTTCCCAAACCATAGATCGTTTGAGATTCTCTTCATTATCCATTAATTTATTGAAACTCGAGCAATGAACTGAGCCAAACTACTTCGTTATCCTTCGCCTTCCACACAAAATTTTCATTCATGGTTTAGTCTGAATATTCGTTGAAAATATTGGGTACATGGTAATTAACATTATTCGCATAATTCACTGTTACCAAAAAGGAGATTTGGTTATTGGCATTCTTTATTTAAATAATCTGTTTTCCTTTTTCAGTGTCACTCCGACACGTCATCATAATGCCTTACGTAAAAAAGGTTTCACTTCAGAAGAATACTTTCGGGTATGGTTTCGCTTTGCGCAGCGAACGTCCTTGCGTTGTTGATGTGGTTATGCCGGATTCTGTTGCTGCTGCGGCCAATGTGACATCTGGTGATGCATTACTGACCGTGAATGGTGTGGATGTATCAAACATGCCACATTCGGATGTTGCCTCGTTAATTTGGTCAGCTGGTTCCACGATTCGTATTGAGGTAAGGAAGAGGATTGATGTAGTGATACATTCGTGTTCGATTTCAGTTTCTATGCTTTGCGGAAGATCCTCTTCATATTTCTGATAGTGAGTTCAGTGAATTGTCTTACACATCACTGATGTTCTATAGATCAACCAGCTCGTTGTTCCGCCACTTTTGCCGAGATGCCCTTACAGGGCTCTCCATTGTTTGCGGCAACGACTGTTGCATCGATACATAAAAAAACAGCTGTCGTCATGTTTATTGGGAAGGCACCGATCGACATGATACACGCAGCGGATGTGTCTTACATTTCACAAAGAATTCCTTTTCTTTTGGACAAAGCGGAATTACTTGTTCAGGGACCAAATACTTCCAGTGCCGCTTGTCTCTTGGAAATATTCACAGACTCCCTACGGATTCGGTTACTTCATCGTGCATTTCAGTATCCGACTAGTGGTATACTATTCAGTGAAGTTATACACGATGATAGTCGTTTCTTCTTTCTGGTGACTCGTGGTCACAACAAGCATTTGAACGTGCGGATTAATCACCAATCACGCACACTTCGAAGTAACGGTTCAATAGATAGTTCTACGGGTAAGTTGTCTTTTCAGTTTCTTTTCCATTTGCACTCAAACTGTGAGAAAAATTATCAATTCTATAGAATTGGCAGTGTACAAGAGAAGCAGTGTCCGCATGTTTATTCTTTTTGTTCTCTACAGTTAGTCCTAAAAATTGAGCCCAACATTTTTTGATCACTTAAAGTCCAGTTATGTTGTGCCTCGCTCGCTCACTACCATCAGCATACGTTCAAAATACATTTTCCATATGCTTCTCCACAATTTCCCGATAGAAAATCGGGATGAAAATCGCAAAGGAGCCAGCTTTTGTTGATAGCATCAAAAATGCGTTGCGCTAATGGAAGACAATTACCATATTCCGTTTCCTGCATTCTTCCTTTTCTAGAGTGGAAAACTCGAGCTTACTAGTAGGGCGGTTTGATGATTCTGGCTGTGACATTTTGTTTGTCATCCTGTCATGTAACATGCAGAAGAATCTAGCAACTTCCAATGGCAATGATTACTCCATATAGTCCACTTTTCAGCAGATTGGCAGGAATTCTCACGGAAAAGTTATAGTGGTTTAGTCGCTGTCACAGGCGAGCTTTGGACCCTTTGGTCGGAGCCTCGTCTCCGCCACCCTACTTAGGTGGTAGGCAGCTTTGTTGCCGTCCGGTTCAATACCACACCCAACCTATCGGGGCCTTATGTGGTTCGCCATTCTAAGTCCCGGGGCTTAGGTTACCGGTTTCCATCACTGAACAGCAGGTCCTCGTGACTATGGGGCTTTCCCCGTCTGCTATTCATCGCACGAAAGTGTGTAATAAAAAAATGAAAACCGATCTCTCTTTCAGAAAATAAACGCGTTTTAGATTTTCGTAGCTAATTGTATTTGGGTTTGCTATTCAGTACAAACGTTGCTTTTTTCCTGCCTTGTATTTCAGAGCATATTAAGCTCTCTGTTAAGTGTATCTTTCAATGCTGGAAAATCCGCACGTGAAATGGTATAATGATATAATTCGAGACAGTCGGCCTCATTAAAATATTTTGCTCCAACTCTTTCAGGATTTAGGGTATAACAGCTTAGCCAGTTTTCAGTTTCAGTTTTTACAACCATTAACCGTGCCCTTTTGTGCGCCGGTTTTGGTTGCTGTCTTTTGGCCGCCCATTTGGATAAAAGAGCAGAATGAAGATTGGAATGCTGAGAGCAAACTCAAGCGGAAGATAGCGAATTAATATTCATAGAATAATGAGTAAATGCACCAGCACCACTGTTTGTGACAGCTATATCCTTCATTGTCTAACCACCGGTTGCCATAACCTCGGGGTCCCTATCCAAGGAGCCTAACGGGACCTATGTGACCTAGTCTCCTGGTTAGGGTTTTCATACCTTCATGCCAGGTCTCAGCTTGACCGCTCTTCGTTTTTTTTCCAATCGCTACCAGCCTTGGTAAATATCGCTCGCCGTGGTAACCTATCTGGTGACGTGCATAACACATGTCCCAACCAACGTAATCTATGGAGGTCGACCATTTGCTTCAGTGGGCGACCGCGGATACCCAAAACTCTGCGCCTAACCTCAGCATTGCTCATCCGGCTACCCCACCAAATTCGTGCAATGCTGCGTAGACAGCGGTGTTCNGGCATGCAGCTCTGATTAACGTTACTTTTGGTCTCCTTCATAGAGAAAAGATTTTGAGAATGGTCTGTAAGGGTCACCAACCGTCCGCCTTGGAAATCGTGCTTGAACTTCGCCACTGCATCCCATTTTTACAACGCATATATATATATATATATATATATATATATATAT